CTGGCTCTTCTCACCAAGAGAAAAGAATGTTTTGAAAAAAAAGATCTACACTGTTTTCAATCAAAAGGAGAAGCTACAAGCTGTTCTAACAGACTTGATTTTTAAGTCCATTATCACCCTAAGCTTACAGATGTCTTTTCATGCATTTTGCTCTTTCACGGGAAAACACATGCCATATACAAAGATTCTATTTAGCATATATTTTTGCATACATGTGCAGCAGGTTAATTTTTTATTGTTACTTCCCTTTGAAGTCAAAGAAGAAAATTATATTAATGAGATTGGGAGTACAGGATGGTGTCTGTTGCCCAAGCACCAGGGACTGCATCTGGGTCCCCTAGCCTCCACGTGTAAGAGCTAGCCTTGGCAGTGCACACGTGTGACCCCAGCACGGGTGAGTGCAACAGAAGAACTCTAGAGACTCACTATCAGCCAGTCTAGCCAGAATTTTAAGCTCGGTAGACTCTGGGTTCAGTGAGAGACCCTGACTCACACAAACAAAAGAGAGGATGAGGACAAGCAACATCAACCTCTGACCTCCACGTGGGAGCACACTGTAGGTACACCCTCATAAAGATGCACATCCCACATCTCTGTCTGTCTGTCTCTGTCTCTCTCTCTCACACACACACACAAGCACGTACACACACTTAGAGTCACATGATGACTTCCACTAAGTTCTCTAGGAAGCAGTTGGTTGCCAAGGTGACCCTTCAGCTGACCCTATTCTCAGGGAAGTCTCACCCAGAAGATTAACTGGCGAGACTGATCTGACGGTTTCAAGTATGGCTCCACTTTGCTCCCATCACTGAATCCCAGAGCTCCAACCGTGACTGCTCACGGCAACTTTACAGGCGGGCAGAAGCTCCTCGACCTTTCTTTCTGAATTCTAATGGAGCCTATTCCGCACACCCCAGGTACCAGAGCCGATAATAAAAGACGGCCCCAGCCTGGTCTCCGGGATGGACCCAATACATCAGACCTCTGACCTCCACTCTCCTAACGGCCTCAGCAACATGTCTTCTGTCACACAAAACCAAGACACGTGTGTAAACCACATCGTGGACTATACATAGAGTATGCATCTTGAAACACATCCCCTTAGTTTCCTCGATTATAGACAGAAGGGGTTGGAAGCTGGAGTTTTCCATTAAGTTTCTAGAAATGCCGAAGCTATAGGAAACAACTCTTAAAATTCTTTTTGTGGAAACTCCTTTTATGGGGGGCAGGGAGAGCTGGGGAGACTGCTCAGTCACTGAAGAGCAAGTCACCCAATGTGAGGACTCATGCCCCCCTCCCCCTGCCCACGTGAATAGCAGGTGAGGAGGTAACCACAGTCCTGCAGTTTGGAGGCGTGCAGATCCCTGATGCTTACTGGCCGGCCAGCCGAGCTGAGTGGATGAGCCACAGGTTCAAGGACAGACCCTGTCTCAAACAACAAGGTAGAGAGCGGGAGACAGTGACGGTTGATGTTGTCCTCTGACCTACACACACACACACACACACACACACACACACACACCCCACCACCGCCGCCACCATCCTTTCAGCTAGCTTCCGTTCTTACACTATCTTTCAGCTTGTGGACAAGGGACTAAATGCTCCAATGGCACTCTTCCTTCCCAGGGAACCCAATCCCCCGCCTCCCCCCACCCCCCAGCGCTCAACTCACTAAAGTCTGTGTGGGCTGGAGAGGCAGACGCATTCCCGCATTCCTGTAGAATGTGTGAAAACAGTTCTGGTGTACTCAGATGGCTACTGGAGAATGACAATTGGAACTACAAAAAGGCTGGGGATTCTCTGCCGGGGACACATTCTACTACAGTTTCCGTCCTGACCCTGTCAGCACCGAGGCTACCGAGTGCTCTTGCTTTACAGCCTCCGAGCTGTGTCCCGTGTGAGAAATCATAAAAGCCAGCCCCCACGATTTCACGAGCAGGGTTCCAAAGCCAGGGGAGAGGGCTTGTAGGATGTGAAGAGCAGACAGACAGCATGGCATGGATAGGACTGACGGACAAATGGAAAGATGTGTGTGTGTGTGTGTGTGACAATCCAAGGTCTGGTGACACTGAGACGGACAAACGGACAGATGTGCATGTGGGTGACAATCCATGGTCTGGTGACACTGAGAAATCCTCCTTCTCCCTAGGGCGTTATCGCCCCATTTAAACCTGGACAGGTTGCTTTCTTTCCTTGGAAGGACAAGTAAGAGGTTCTTCCTCTCTGAGCCTTTGATTTCCCCAAGCGGGAGAACTCTGCAACAGTGCCCAGCTTGGCAAATGCCAGGGTTCTAGACTCATCCCGAGTTCAAGATCCATCGTGTAGGAGGGGTTGCACAGAGCTCCTTGACCTACAGGGCAGCTGCACCAGCTGGGCTACCCCCATGTGCACGCAGGGTCCTTTCGTCCCATGGTGTCAAAAAGTGATGGTGGGCAGAACGCCATCGGAAATTATGAAGACGCTAAGAAGACAGAGTAAGAGACGTGGTGGCACAAGCCTTTTAACCCCAGCACTCAAGGCGCAGAGGCAGAGGACAGTCAAGGGTTCAAAGTCAGCCTGGCTTACATAGCAAGTTCCAGGCCAAGCAGGACTACATAGCAAGAGCCTGACTCAACTCAAAAGACAAAATAGGTAGATAGATAGATAGATAGATAGATAGATAGATAGATAGATAGATAGATAGGAAGAGAACAGTAAAATTAGACACTAACGGCCCACCTTTGCTTTTGGAGTTGGCCTAAATTTGCATTTGGTTTTTCGTTCTAGAAGCTTCTTGTGAAATGGACGACTGTCCCCTTGGAGCTACAACGGCTCTTTATGACACAGCTAGTCTTACTCTTCCCCCCCCCTTCACTCTTCCCTTGACATCAGATTCCGTCTGAGAAGAAGGCTGGGTACAGAGGGGTTCTCTAGGTCCCTTCTTCCGGTGACTGTGCTCCTGAGTTATACAATGCTGGGGGTGGCAAACACTTTATCTGAACACTTGACCCTCGGGGCAGGCAGCTCTGCCAATATGGGGGCCATTTCTCTCCCAGAAAGAAAAATGTACGAGGTGAAAACCTGCCTTTCTTATGTGTGGAAGTAAGGGGCGTAGAGGCTCACCGTGGACCCCTATTTTAAGCTGTCTCCTCATGCAGGGCCACTGTCTGAACTGTCCTAGAGGCGGTGGCTGCTTTGGCTTTAATGTTAGAGTGCCAGAGACACCCAAAGGAGCCAACGCAGGACCTCGGTCACCCTCAGCTTCAGTCTTCTAAACCTTGCCCTCGTCCCTGGCCCCGCACCAAGCCATTCATCGCTCCCTCCGCTCTGAGCCACGGCCCTTGGGGTGCCTGCCATGCTTAGTGCAGGTCCTCCTCTTCAGCAGCCTTTCCTACCCTGGAGACCCTTAGGAGTGCTGTGGGGATCCCCGGGTGTGAGATGACAGTGTGTCACCCAGGTCTGTCTCCACGAGTAAAGAAAACATCAGGCTGTGATGTCGAGTCCCTGAATTCCCTGAGTCTGATCATGGCTGGAAACCTTGCAGGAGGTAAAATGGGAACAGGAAAGGCAGAGAGGAGGGAGTGACCCCAGACACAGTCAACAGAGGACAGGGCAGTCAGCATGGAAACCACGTCCTGCGGTACGCCTGGTTGAGTATGTGGATGGCCTCTGCGTGTTACCGCTTCAGGGAAACTGGAAACAGGCAGTCCAGACATGGGAAGTCATTTCCATGGCTGCAGCAAAGGACGCCATAGCTACAGTGACCAGTGGATAGTGACATAGAGTCACACGCTCAGGGGCTGCTACCTCAGAGCCCAGAGGAACGGCCATGTTAACAACGTTGCCTGTTGAGGGTTCACACCCCAGGAGCCTGCCTCAGAGGCTCAAGGGAACTACCATATTGAAAAGGTCGCCTGGAGGGTTAGAGGCAAGGAAGTACCGCTGGGGATCTCTAATATTTCCTAAGCTCACGCCCTGTACCGGGCACATGATGTCATCTAGTTAAGTCTTGGGAAGATGCCATCATTATTACATACATCTTGTAGAAGGTGAAACTGGGATTCTGGGGTTTTCTGGAACTTCCTGAAGGCTGAAGAATTCTACTCACTGTGTTCCAGGGACCATGTTCTTAATGGCCTCATTCTTAGCACCTAGCCTCTTTTACCATAGCTGCTGGGGACAGGGGGGACCCCACTTCCCAACATCCCGAACTCTGAGGGCATCATTTCCCAGGGACGCTTGGCACGGTTTGGAGGCAAGCCCGTGTCCATCCAGGACTCATCTGCCTACAGACTTGCATCTCCTCTAGTCCAGCCTCAGCTCCTGAGCCAGGGTGTGGTCCTGGAAGAGTGTCACTTCTGTGTTTACTCAAAGATAGTCATTAAGTCACCGTGAAGACATCTTTCCTTCAGACTAAACAACCCCACTCCCTTTTTAAACACTCTCCTCACAGAAGCTCTTTTTTGAGACCGTCTTTCTATATTTACTGGCTCCCCCAGCACTCTTCTCCTGGCCCTGTCTCTATTTTAAACAATTCTAGACTAGGATCTGCGCTAGGGAAGAAGAAAGGAAGGAATACTCTCACAGTTTTCATCTCCGGCCTTAACAAATTAACGCTAGATGGATGGTGAGTCGCCTTTTGGTCCATTCTGACCCTCTGGCCTCTCTTGTCGCATCCTGTACGTGACCAGTCTTCTCTTCACCGTTTGCTTCTGGTCACATGGAACTTCGCAGTATATCTGAGGGTCTATTCCTTGGCCTCAGAGAGCCCCAAACTGTTCTTAGTTCATTTGAATTGGTCTGATTTCCCTTTGATGTCCAAGACAAGGCTTTGAAAAAGCCCAGACACAGACACAACCTTTGAGAAGCAAGGGGGTTGACAAGGGAACTGCTCCTGTCTGCGGGGGTCTGACATCCCTTTGGGAGAGACACTGGAGCCGCAGACAGAAGATGTGTAAGACCCAGCTGGCCTTCGAGTACGCCAGCCCAGAGAGTTTCCAGCCCCGAGAGGGCCCACTTACTTCGGGGTTCTCGCGGTCCGTCCACTGTGATCTTGATGGCCCTGTGGTAGGTGGCCACTTGTGGGGGGTTGGTAAAGACGGTGATGGTCAGAGTGAAGCTCTTGCCTGTAGAGACACAAAACAGGACAGGACAGGTTGAGGGGTGCTCTGAGCATCTACCCCTTACGGTAATCTGGAGTATACACAGTGGGTTCGCTAGGTGTGACACATTGCCTAGTTATGCGGCTTTAATTCAATCATTAATTAACAACAGGATCAGGAGAGATCAGAGTTTACTCCCACGTTGGGATTTTGGGAATTGCCAGCAGGGATTCATAGCCATCCACTCCCACCATTTGTCCCCCCCCTCCACACTGGGATAGTTATAAAATCCAGGCCAAAGGAAGAAGAGAAAGAGGAGGAGGAGGAGGGGGAAGGAGGAGGGGGAGGAGCTGTAGGAGGAGCTAGCCCCCACATTTCCCTTTTAACTCTGTACTTTGGAGGATTAGAAAAGATTGAGTTTCTTTTTTCTTTTTTTTTTTTTTCTTTTGGTTTTACGAGACAGGGTTTCTCTGTATTGTTTCGGAGACTGTCGGTCCAGCCTGGCCTCGAACTCACAGAGATCTGCCTGCCTCTGCCTCCCGAGTGCTGGGATTAAAGGCGTGCGCCACCACCGCCTGGCTAAGACTGACTTTCTATAGCCGGTCTGAGGGTAGATCAGTGGGTAGAGCGGCTGTCCAGCAAGCATGAAGCCCTGGGTTCCATGCCAGCATCGCATACACCTGGGGCGATGCTCACACCTGTAATCCCAGCACTCAGGTAACGGAGGCAGGAGGATCACAAGTTCAAAGTCTTCCTCAGCTGTGCAGCGAGTTTGAAATGAGCCTGGGCTGCATGAAGCTCCGTCTCAAGACAGACAAACCAACTCAACAAAGACTGAAATTCTAAGCGTGAAAACTAGCTATATGAGAAATTATTCTCTGCAAATACTAGAAGTCGATGGCTGATGGTAACTGTTTATAGGACCAGATGGCTGACGAGATGCTACACAAGTATTACTGGGGTAGGGCAGAGCGAGGCTACGCAGCCAGCAGACTGGGATCCCAACGCGTTGCTGTTCATACGAAAGCGTGCCTGGCTCTCTCTGGAATATTTCACATGCCTTTATGAAAGGTCAGCTCAGAGTTAAATCAAATACATTACTTCTTGGCCTCACGGTTTCAGGAAGTAGATTCTGGTTTTGAATTCCCACCGTGTCACCATGACACATCACAAGATCTAGACCCTCTGTGGCTCAGTGTTCTTGCCTGAAAAATGGGTGCAGGTATTTTTTTTTTATAAATTTATGCCATTTTGGGCTGAGAGAAGAATAAGTGAGGGAAAGCATTATTACAACAGTGTCTGTCCTCAGTGTTCAAAGGCTGGAATGTTCCGTGCCCCCCCCCGCCATTTCTCAGAGCTCTGTATGGAATCCTAGTATTTAAGTGTGATAGGAAGTATTCTATCTACATATTAGTTCTTCAGTTAATACAATTTCTCCTCTTACTCACATAGTATGCAAAGAAATCCAAATAAAAGGAAGACAAACCATGCCCACAGGCTCCAAAAGGTATTGGGCATTTTAAAACTCAGCATACCTGTCCACGCACCTTAGAGGACACATATAGTTTCCAGTTGATATATATGTGTTTTGATAGGGGTGAAGACCACTCAAACACCCCCCCCCCCCCAAGAATACAACCTAAGGCCATTGAGAAATAAACGTTCCTAGGAATACAATCTATGACCACAGCAAGCTCACTCCCTCATCATAAAAATTGTTCCTAGATAATCCCGGCGTGTCTGTCTGTAATCTATCAGCTAACGCCTGTGACAAAAAGAACAGTGGCAGATAAGGCTGGTGATGCTGTCCCTTTTGCATCATGAGTGGCTCAAGGGGCCTGACAGGAGTGGTCTCTAGCAGTTGGGATTCTACGGCACACGAGGCTTTGCACCTAACTCCCCTACCTCCTCAGTCAGCCTCGTCTCCACAGGAAAGTGCTACCTGGCTCTAGGCTTTGCCATCATCAGATATCTGCAGGAATCATCATGGGACAGTCCAGGGTTTCCATCTAGCTGACTTGGAGGGGTGGCCAACAGAAGCCGAGAGTGGACATGCTGAGAATGGTCTCTGACTTGGAGGCCTGAGAGAGCCGCCCATCATTCCCTGTCAGAGTCAACTGTATAAACGGTCACATGGTCTGTCATAGTCAACTGGTCACATGGTCTGCTGCTTTCAGGCGGGTCTCCGGAAAAGCTCATGGGGTAGGGGGGGCATCCTTTCTCAGCAAGAACCCGCGATGGGCTACCCCTTGTATCATCAATGTGGACTCCTAGAGTCAGCTTCCAGAATCTTCTCTCTAGAATCTTTCCCTCCTGCATCCCGTGGGCTCAGCTCTCATGCTAGGGCCTTGGGATTCTGGCGTTTGTGTAGACACTGCTTCTTCTTCTTCTCCTTCTCCTTCTTCTTCTTCTTCTTCTTCTTCTTCTTCTTCTTCTTCTTCTTCTTCTTCTTCTTCTTCTTCTTCTTCTTCTTCTCCTTCTTCTTCTCCTCCTCCTCCTCCTCCTTCTCCTCCTCCTCCTCCTCCTCCTTCTTTTAATTTAGGTTAGAAACAATCTTGTTTCACCTGTCAATCCAGGCTCCCTCTCCCTCCCCCCTTCCCCTGCCCTCCCCACCAGGTCCCCCAGTCCCCTACTCAATCTCCACTCCAATCCCCAGGGAGGGTGAGGCCCTCCATGGTGGATCTCCAGTGACTGTCATTTCATCCAGGGCAGGGCCTCGGCCCTCCCCCCAAGAGTTTCGGCTGAGAGAGCCTCCCATATTGTGACATGGGCACTCAAAGTCTATTTGTATGCCAGGGATAAATACTACCCAAGGCCCCATAGATTACCTGGGCCTCCTCACTGACACCCACATTCAGGGGGTCTGGGTCAGTCCCATGCTTTCCACACAGCCATGAACAATTTTTCTGATTAGATATCACTTCCCAAAATTAAATCAAGGACACTGCCACTTCTACAGCTACCCAGATCCTCTCGCTTGGGTCTTCCCACCTTCAAATCCCAGCCGGTTGCTGCTGTCCTGCGTCTTAGGTGACCTTCCCTGGGGATGAGCTTGCTCGTGACTATTTCAGATAGGCCCCACAGATCGCTCTTCACCTTAATTAATCAAGACGTTTGCTTACTTTGGCAGCATCTGTGACTGTCTGAGCTTAACCTGCTTGCGGGCAGGGACCATGTTCTCCAGGGCCTAGCATCCTACAGAAGTGTGGAAGGAGGAGAACGGGCAGAGTCTTAGGGGTGGCAGAAGCCAGCGAAGTGAGAGGAGCCCAGGGAGAAGCACCTTGGAGACACCAGCGTGAGAGTGATGGCTTAGTTCTGAGCTGGCCTTGGGGGGGTGTGCTGCGGGAAGTGGGGGACAGTGAAATCCGGTGTCTCCGGCTGGAGAGTTACAATATCTGGACTCTTCCCTGTCTTTGCCTCCCCTGGTCCCAGTTCAAGGGATACTTGTGGTATGGCTCACAGCTCTTTGACACTGTCTTTTGAGCCTGAGGCAGAGGCAGTGGGATGCCTGCATTGGACATCTCCCTTCTCAACTCAAAGCTGTGGAAGGCCTGTAGCATCTGAAGTTCTCTGACAGTGTCTCCTGAGCCACAGGTTCAGCACTGTTGCCTGAAGTGCGTGTTATAGCGCCATGATGATATCATCTGAACCTGTGACTATCCAGCATGGTGTCACTATGAACAGACGCATGGTGGCCCATGCTCTCTGTTGCTTACAGCTTCAGAACTGCAAAGACCTCAAGGATCTTTGAGTTCAAGCAGTCTTGGGGCTGATGCAATACAGTATCAGGGCTTCATGCACTCAGATTCAGTCTCTCATTGCTCTGGAGCCGCAAGGCCACGACCAAGGTGCCTGTGGAACTGCTTCTTTAGGGGGCTCTGGAGGCAGCTGGCTCCTTCCTCCTTCTGACTTCAGTAGACTGTCAGCAGCATCAACCTTCTGTAGGAACTTGTGCTCTCAGTGCCCCAATCTGACTCCATCTCTGTGTGGTACCTTCCTGTAGCGTGACCCTTGAATCTCCCCATCCTCAGAAGGTCGTCATGTGTGGACTTGGCATAACGCATGGCCCTCACCTCACTGCGCCTGTGACTTTACTCTAAGTAAGAGCATATTCTGAGAGTCATGGTGCATGTTGACTTGCGGGTAAATTCTTCATCGCTGCGCAAACACAGAGCACCCCTGTCTTGTCCCTGCAAGGGTCTCTAAACTCCGAGACAGCCTCGCTCTCACCAACCCCCTTTCATCACTCCACCCAACGGTTTCCTAAATCGTTGCAACAAAGAAACGTGTGTTCAAAGTATGGACATCTTTAGGTGTCTGTAGAACTCACAATGTTCCCAACATATGCCCTATGTGATTTCATTTGGTTGTCACGACAGATTCATGAGCCGAGCACAATGGGTTTTGCACCCCTTAGCTGTGTGCAAAGCTTAGACTTTGAAAAGCGATGTTACCTTCCCAAAATCACTCAGTTTGGGCTGACAAGATGTCCCGGTGGGTGAAGGTATTTGCTGCCAAGCTGGACAACCCCAGTTTCATCCCTGGGATCCATATAATGGAAGGAGAGAGCTGACTCCCATAAGCTATCCTCTGGCCTCATAGTTATGCCACAACACCCACAGAGACAGACACACACACACACAGACACACATACACAACACACACACACAAATATAACAAAAAAATAATCACCTTAACTTAAACACAAAGAAAGGAATCATCAGTTTTACACTCACCACTCTCTGTGTTTCTGTCACTGGTGTCAAAAGTGCCCACCTGTGCCAAATCCAAACTCAGGAGCTCTTTTCCACCTCCCGCCACTGTCCCCTAAAGGGAAAATTGTCCCCATGACCCTAACATGCAAACTGTTCTAAGAAGCTGCCTACGAACCGGGGTCCTGGCTTGGTGGCAGTCTCCTGGAATGGACTGGGACTCTTGGAATGTGAAAGCTTGTGAGAAATCTCTGGTCAATCAGAGACTAGCTGACTTAGGCGAGGAATTCAGCTGCAGGGGAGGCTGGAGAG